GGGGAGGGTGAGGGGAAGGGTGGTCCCAGGTCCCCTTCTGCCATCAGCCTCCTGTGCACAGGTTGGGATGCACGGTGTGGCTTCCAGCTTCCCTCCTCCACTGGACCAGCGACCAAACATTCCGTTGTAGTCCCTTGTTCACAGCGGGGCTTTAGAAACTTGTCTGTGATATCTGCCCTTCCCGACCATAGCAGGGAAGAGAGATGGACCCCGGTTGCTCTTTTAAACATTTGGGTTTTTGCTTATCTGTGCCGTGGAGGTCAGAACAACCTGCAGGAGTCTCTCCTTCCACTATGTGGAGTCTGGGGTTTTTTGTTTGTTTTGAGACAGCCCTGGGTGGCCTGGAACTTACTATGTAAACCAGGCATGCGGAGATACACCTGTCTGTGTCTCCTGAATGCTGGAATTAAAGGCAAGGCGTGTGCTGCCATGCCCCGTGGGTTCTAGGAATTGAACTCAGACTACCAGGCTTGGCGGCAGGCACCTTGATCCACTGAGACATTTAGTCAGCCCCCTTGAACATTTGCTATTTGTTCCCTCCACTCTTGGGTTTAAATCTTGGTGAGTGTGTGTGACGGGGGGGGGGGGGGGGGGGCTTTGGGGTGTTTCATTCCCTATTCCCAGTCTCTCATCTTTGGGTCTGCGAGCTCCCAGCCTGAGGCACACATGCCCCGCCTGGGAGAGCTGGGCCCTGTTCCAGGGGTTTGCCCTCAGTGATGGATTTGTATGCTGGGTGCTGGGCCACGTACCTCAGACTCAGAGGCCCGCAGACTTTTTCCTGGTTCCCCCTTTCTTCTCCCTCCTATGGAAGGACTGGGCTCTCTGCTGTTTTGGTGTCTTTGTATCCTTCTTCCTGTTTGCTAGAGGCTGACTTCCTTCCTGCGCTGTTTCTCTCTGGCCGCCTTGCAAGTCCTTTTTCTTTCCTTTCTCATTAGTCTCTTTTGTTTGACTTGTAGAAATATTTTGTTTATTGTTACTCCTTGTAATCAGGGTGCTCTTTGACTCTTGGTGTGTGGGAGCTTGCTTTCCATTTTGGGGTGTGCAGGAGAGACCTAAGTGCAGTCTTCCAGGCTTGGTTTGTGTCCTGGGAGTGTTCAGAGTCCCGGGGACAGGCTCCAGCCCTCCCTAGCCAGTGTCCACGCCTGCCTGGGCACTACTGGGGTGGCTGAAAGGACCGAGTGCTTGGCACCGTGCTGTATTCCTGAAGGCAATTGCGGTTACAAACTCTTTGGGGTTGGAAAGTACCTCAGTGGTTTCCAAAAGCCTGGCTTTGGCCTGGCTGCCACAGAAGCACCTGGGCAGGATCTATGTCTGGCTTGGCCACCAGGGCAGGACATTGGTTTAATGGAAAGAGGTTAAAAGGCGCTGAAGAAGGTGCCAAACTCTGAAGTGTTTTCTTCTAGGCTCTAGGATCACTAGCGGCTTTTATATTCTCTTTTGGAAGGACTTGTACTTATATTTTATGATGGTTTTACATTGAATATGTATTGCTTTTATTATTTAAAGACATGATAAATTTTCCTTCTGACCTTCCTTTCTTCCCTCCCTCCCTCCTTCCTTCCCTTTATTTTTGTAATACTGGGGATTGAACCCAGGGCCTCCACGTGTGCTAGGTAAGTGGTCTACCATTGAGCTATGTTCCCATGTATGCTAGGCAAGTGGTCTACCATTGAGCTATGTTCCCAGTTGATTTCCACTTTAAAAAAATACTTTCGCTATTTTTAATTATTTATGTGTGTCTTAGTGTAAGGGTTTTTATTGCTGTGAAGAGACACCATGACCACAACAATTCTTATAAAGAAAACATAGAGGTTCAGTCCACTATCATCATGGTGGGGAGATTGGTAGCCTGCTGGCCGAGGTGGTGCTGGCTACATCTTGATCAGAAGGTCACAGGAAGTTGATTGACAGTCACACTGAAGGAACCTTCCTTGAGCAAAAGATAACTCAAAGCCCACCCCCACAGTGACACACTTCCATCAACAAGGTCATGCCTCCTAATAGTGCCACTTCCTTGGGGGGACATTTTCTTTCAGACCACCGCAGTGTGTTTATGTCTGTGTGGGGTTAAGTGCATGTGGGTGTAGGTGCCCTTGGGGGGTCAAGAGAATCAGATCCCCTGGAGCTAGAGTTACCAAACATCCACTGGTACGGGTGCTGGGAACCAAACTTTGGTCCTCTGCGAGAGCAGCGCACACTCTTGACCACTGAGATATCTAGCCTGTCTGCCTCTTGATGGAGTTTGTTCAGTATGGAAGCTCCTGGGCCCCTTCCCTGGACATTCTGATCCTGTTGGCCTGGGTGGGACTGGGACACTGATCTTGTGACACAGTTGGGTTCAGAAGTTGTGGATCTAATAGAGCGCTGGTGTGTTTTCACAAACAGGCTAATGAGGGATCCAGCCTTAAGCCAGACTCCGATGCCCGATTGAGGCCCTAACTCCCTCCCTTAGTGCCTTCTTGCCAGGTCAGGAGCCCTGAGAACTCACAGGGTGGCCTGGCTTCTGCTCAAAGGCCAGGCTGTATGCACTACCATCTGCACTCAGGCTTGGCCCTCCCCTCGGAAGTCTTCATCCGTCCCGACTGACCACCCACCAGCTCACAGATGCTTCTCTGACTCTAAAGGATGGGGTGAGATTGTTTCCTTCCCCCACTCCCACAGGACCTGGGAGCCCAGGAAGTATCTATCCTCTGAGCAGATGACCTCTATGGACGGACTTGGGGAGAAACCAAGGCATATGGAGATAGGATTGGTGCAGGTAGTGGACAGTGGCATCCTGAGCGCCTTCCTTGGCCATCTTGCTGTTTTGAGATGGTGTAATGAAGGGATGGATGGCGGGTCTTCTCTGACACAGTGAAAGATGGCTGATGACACATAGCGTACAGTGATCGTAGGTAGGGACGTCACTCTGGGTTCTAGCCCATCCATGCCACTTACTAGCTCTGGGATAGCTGGGTTAGATCTTTGGTTATCTCATCTGTTAAGGGCATGACAACAGACTCATTTCATAGGGTTTAGGGAGGTGATGGTTTTTTACCCTAAATAGAAGAATGCTTTTTATCCTGTGCTATACCCCAAACCCCCAAATCCTGGGTATCTTGTTGAAAGTGTGCATTCTGACTCAGGGGGTCAGCATTTCTAGTGAGCTTCCCTGGTGGTGATGCTGAGGCTGCTGTCCTGGGGACCACACCTCAGGAAGCAGAACCGTAGAACCCTCAGTATAGGACCACCACAATTTGTTGGAAACCATAGTTGCTATTGTCACTGGGCTTTGTCAGACAGGTACCTGAGGAGACTCACAATGCCAGCAGACCGGCCTCTCCGACTGCAAGAATTCATCTTTTCCCGGGGTCTCCTGTGCCACTCGTGACCTTTGCACCTGTCGTGGGCAGCAGCTGGGGAGGCCTGGTGGAGGGACCCAGCTGCTGCAGGCCTGGGTCTCTAGCTCTGCAGCTGAAGTTCAGGTCGCTCCACTGGAACCAGACTTGGTTAAGCTGCGCGTGCTTCCTCTTTTTTACTCATCTTTGTTTACAAAACAGGAGGAAGCCATCAGTCTCCCCAGCGCCTGCTTGCTGCCAGGCTTCTCTGTGGCACACCCGCTTCCCTTAACCCACTATGCCTCCGATCTGCTCGCTCGTTCTCCACACTCCACTCCACCATTGCCGTGGACGTGGTGGGGGGTAGTCTGTGTCAACCTTAGCTGGACACTACATTTCTCTTGGTGACTGAGGGCAGTGGGGAAGGGACTCAAAACCTGCTTGGTTCCCTGGTGGAATCCTGGGGCTGGATGGAACTTCAAAGCTCCCAGAGTCCAGGAAACCTGGGCGTGTGACCTGCTTCTCTTTCTGACTTACTCTACAAGCCAGTAGGAGTTGCCTGGTAGGAGCTGATGGCTAAGGTTAAAGACACCCTGAGGGCCCCTGCGACCCCCACCCTGGACACCTCACATAAACTTACTTGCTGACTGGGCCACTGAAGGACTCTAAATCCAGCCTGGGCGGGCCCCCTCTCTGCACAGGAGGCTTTTATCCCCCTGTCCACTAAGAACCCCACGGAGAGGCCCCAGCCTATCCTCCTCCCCTGGCAGACAAGGAGAGAACAAAGGCCGCCTCTTCCAGCACTCCCTTGTCCCCTCCAGGCCTCTGCTGGCCTCTGGGAAATGGTACCTGTGTGGACAGGACACCAGCCAGAAACCTTTGTGCTTCTGACCTCTGAACTTTGCCTCCTGGCTTCCCAGCCTGACAGTAGGACCTGGGATAACCTCCAGAACTGGTGCGCATTCTTTGTTTTTGTTTTGTTTTCAAGTGTGTTCTTGCTTAACGTTTAATTGGCTCCAGTCAGTAGGAAAGCGCTCCAAGAGGGATTATTTATGGCTTACTGTCAAAAGCGGCTATAAAAAGGGCAGCCCAGAGCTGGGGATGCTGAAGGGGGAGAGGGCGGGCTCTCTCTCACACAAGTGTGTGTGTGTGTGTGTGTGTGTGTGTGTGTGTGTGTGTTTGTACTGGATGAAATCAGTTTTTTGCTGCCTCAGCAGTGTGGTTTAAATTGAAGATTAACCCTTTGACCTTCACAGTGTCAAATCACTTGCAGATGGAGCCCCCCCCCCCCTTCCCTCTCTTGTTCTCTGTGTTCCTTTGGAATGGGGGAGAGGGAGGGACTTCTTGTCTTTCTCGCTCAAGCAAGATTGTTGTTCATGCAGCTGAGGTTTGGGGGGCTCAGGAGCCAATCTGATTAAAAGCAGTACTTGGCTAAACTCTGGAAAAGTCCTGCGAGCGGGGGAGAAAGTCTGATCCTCCTGTTACCGTTCACACAGCCTAGCTGAGTGTTTCCCAAACTGCAGATGTCTTTGGAGTTTGGTCCCGTGTCCCCCTCCCCGGTTTGCTAGCCGGCACAACGGTGCCAGTCTGAGATCTGGCAATGGGAGCTTGTTTGGGAAACAGTAAGGAACCCGTGGTCTAGGCTGGTGCCTGGCACCTAACGCTCATCTCTTTCCCTTACAGCACCAGGAGAACCGAGACCGCGCATGGTGGCAGGTCTTCCTCTTCCTGCAAAACCTGGCCTTGAACAGAGAAGAAAACAGGGAAGGCGTGGGTCCCTGGTGAGGCTGGGTGGAGGATGAAGCACCAGAGTGCAGTCTGGAACAGGACAGACATCTGGGAGGACGGACGCCATCTTGTCAAGTTTTGTTATTTTTAACTTTTGTTTCCTGTTTGTACATACAACATACCCCAGTGAGATCTCCTTCCCCTGTTCAGAACCTGCACTGGGAACGGGGGCTTTGGTCAAACACTGTTGAAGGAGAGGCGGCCGTGCCTGCTGGTGGAGTCCCAAAGGCTCTGACGGTGACCAGTTGGTGATGCTTTCCGGGAAGTAGACTGAGGCTTTCCTACTGGAGCTGGTTAAGAAATAGGAGGTCAGGTTAGACTCCCAGTGTCACCAAATGTGTCAGCCTTCCCTCACGCCTGATGGAAACACAGCTCTAACCCACCAGGACCTTGCCCGGGGTATCCTGGCTAAGAACAGCAATGCCTTGCCTAGCCAGCCCTACATCTGGGTTCCCACTTGGCACAGCCTGTGCATGGGCTCAGGGATTCTTATCCAGACCCGTCACCTCCAGCAGACCTCAGGGAGGGTCGGACTTCTTTAAGAACCTCTCAAAGGTGCCTCAAAATGGAATCAAGCTTGACAGGTCTCAAGTCTGACTTGGTTCCCCCATGGAAGACCCTTGATTGGTCCCAAGGTGCAAACTACTGCCACCTTTGCTGGCTGGGTGTCAACCGTGTGTGAGCCAAGTCGCTGATCAACCATCCTGTTGTGCCCGGGAGCCTGTGCCTTTGTCGGCCGTTTTCAAAAGACCCTGCCAACTACTGGACTGGATTGGACTACCACCTCAGCAGCCGCACTCCGAGATGGGGTGCGTTCACAGGGGATCCACTGATCAGTCAGTCCCAGGGTCTGACTCTTGGTTTCCTTGGAAACATGTACCTCCTCCCCCTTATCCCCATCCCTTTTTCATACCTAGTAGGATACAGGAAGAAGCTGGCACAGTGACTTTGCCAGCTGAAAGGTGACTTTTGAACAACAGACAATGTTTAGAACATGGAGCTGATAGAGCTGGGTACACATTTCCTATCTTCCTTCAGCTTCCAGCCAGGCCAGAAGAGAGAGTTCCTGAACCTAGCCGAATCTCAGCTTCCTTCTCTCCCTGCTGTGGTACTCAGGGAGGAGACTTAAAGTGCTGACCTTCATCACAGGGTGTCTCCTAACCCAATACCTGGAGATCAAATCATAATATATATATATATGGAAAGACATTGGTGCTAAAGACGAGGCTCAAAGAAAGGTGGCTTTCCTGAGTAAAGAAGACTCTGGGGTCGTGCAAGGAATTTGCAGGAGGAACTCAGAGTAGAGCAAATTGAGCAAGCCCAGTAACTCTCGTTTCTGTAGAGAGGTGGGGGTGGGGCTTCAGTCCTGTAGGAGGGCCACTGACCCCCTGGGTGTGCACAGAGTTTAAGGGATTTCTAGAGGCTGGAGTCTGGCCTGTGCTCTGCTCTCTAGGCTGTGTGCTAGGCTGGATCTGCTCACTTGGAGATGTCTTTCCTAATTTATACAAAGGACTGTCTGCACTCACAGCGGGCCTCCTGAGAAGGCCCCCAGAATACTTATATAAGCCTTTGTGTTTTTCTGCTCAGACGATCTGGAGATATTACCTCTTCTTGGCCACAATCATTTTCTCAGGGTGTATACCGTGGTCCATCTGCTAAGAAGTGGGTTCCTGTTTGCAAGGAGAAGGGGACCTAACTAATGAATATGAAAACTGGTTCTGGGGCGCACTAACCATTGTGAAGCCCAGTTTAGATGTGTGGGGGGGATCCACTCTCCGGGATCAAGGCTATGATAGGCAGGCTTCTGGTATGTGCATGGTACATGCGTGCCCCCGCCCCCTGTAGAACCCTGTACATCAGTCATCTTTAAACCTCTTAGCAGACTTTACATTCAGAGACCTTTGCTAGGTGCGGGCTAGGTGCCCTGTGATCTGTCCTGAGAACTGAGCCCAGAGTTTGACCTGAACATTGAGTCTGGGGCCAGGTGGAAGCTGGTCGGTCCGAATACACTGTCTCCACTTCGGGCCTAGCCAGGACCAAACTCACTAACTTGGGCAAGCCAGGGTGAAATTTAAACCCTCTTTTATCTTCCTCCAACCTGAATCCAGGCTGGGGTTGAAGCTCAATAGGAGAGTACTTGCCTTGCAGTCCAAAGACCCTTGGATGGATCCCCAGGGCTATAAAGTAGAAATAAACAAAAATACACCCCCACTCCCCCCCCCCCTCGCAAGCCCTAGGAGGTAGCTGGCAGCCCAGCCCAGCCCCAGGAGGCAGAGGTTCCCCCTGGCTGGTTGCTTTAATTGGCCAGTGATCTCTGCCTGGTGAATTGGCTTTATAGTCTCCCAGTCCAGCCCAGGGCCAGCCAGCCCGCCTGCCCCTCCCCATCGCCTCGCTCCAGCTCCAGGAGCCTGACTGTCTCTAGTGAGGAGTAGAGATTCAGATTTAGAGGGAGGGGATGTCTGACCTGTGTGCTGACCTGTAACTGGCTGAAGGCAGTGGGCTTTTGTGGTGTGCTGAGGATGGGGGTGGGAGAGAGACTGGAAAACCTAGTGTAGACATGCCCTAGAGGGACACAAGCCCATGTTCAGGAGCCAAACTGCTCTCCTAAGTCACAATTCCCAGTAGGCATTTCTAGAAGCCAGTGAACAGATCTGGAAAGGAGCATCCCCCAGTCAAGTTACAGACTCCCCAGTGAGGCTGAGACAGGCTGGCGGGGGTGGGGGGAAGCTCTCCGCCTGGCCCTGTCTGTTTCAAAGTCTGGCTGCGCTGTGCAGTTGTCCCCAGTGGCCTTGTCTTGCTCAATCAGAGGTGGAAAAAGATCACCTCCCGGTGACCTCCCTCAGGCCCCAAGGGATGGGCTGTGTCCAGAACTATGTGGCAAAGCTTGTTTCCAGGGCCTAGAGAGGCCCAGCTGGCTTGCCTTGCAGCCTCAACCACAAACCCGAGCCCAACCCTGAGCGTTGCGGGGAGTGGGTATTGGCACAGTCTGGCCAGAACCCCCGTCTGCCCCAAGCTTTCCAGGAAATAGGTAGCGAACTCACTATGACCATCCTGGTCAGTGAGGAGAAAAGTTCTCTGAGGAGAGCATTCCCTTCTGGGGACTTGATAGGGAGTGGGGTACTACGGGTGCACGGAGTAGCCAAAGCCGTCGGTCTTCATGGCTCTGCTGGGTTTTGAGGAATCAGAACTGTGGCTGCCATCCTCCTGGTGGGGCACACTGGCTCCGTGAAGATGAGGACCTTTGGAGGCAGGCTCTCCTGGTCTGTTACCCTGGTAGGACAGGGTGGACCAACAGGCATTCAGAGTTTCCTGGGATTCCAGGGCCTCAAGGGAACAGCAGAACAAAGCTGGGCCCTCCTCCCATGGATGCTCGCTTTGACCAAGGTGCTATGAGGTGTGTGGCCTCAGGCTTGCTCTGCCCCTCCCTCCACAGGTATCTGGTGGTCCACCCCATCTCTGGGTCCACAGGAACTGACCGGGAGACCCAGTGAGATGTAGCATTTCATTCGTCCCCAGTTTGCTTGCCCTGGGGTCTGGGCATTCTGCCTTAAGGAGAGGAATGGGGACCGTTATTTTTTAACCTGTACATAATATTTGGCTTTTTGTTGTTGTTGTTCTTTACTTGTATACATGTGTAAATATCCTCTCCCTCATCAGCTGGTACAATTTTTAATAAAACCATTTAAAGCGAATCTGTTCTTTATTTTTCTAAGATGTGGTAAAAATACAAGAAGGGGCATCAGACACTCTTAATAATGTGTTTCTCCCCGGCATCCCGAGTTGCCCTAGAGGTGTGTGCTTGCCACACTGCCTTTCGCTTCTTGGAGTGGGAAAGAACAGTCTGGCTGCATAGTAGCAGGGCCACAGAAGCCCAGTGTCATGGGAAAAGGGGGCTTTGGAGGGGTCAGTCTGGCTTTGGGTCCAGTCTCTGGTCTCCACCTGCGGAATGACCTTGACAGTGATGGGAGGTGCCACAAGCCCTGCCCCTTCTGGACCCCAGCTCTTTCCGGTGGAGAGGAGCCTCCTGCCCCTTTTCACACAACCTATGCCCCTGGCATGCCAAACCTTGGCTTCCTGGTAAGCAGACAACAAACACATCTCAGGCCTGGCTTGGTAGCAGCTGCCAGGGAGACTGAGGCAGGAGGATCACAAATTCAAGCCTGGCCTGAGCTATAGAGTGAGTTCAAGACCCTGTCGTAAAAGCGAAGAAGACTGGGGATACTTGGTGACAGAACACATTGCCAGCAGGCATGAAGCCTCAGTTTCAATCCCCCGCTCACAAGAGCAGGGACTGAGTGAAGGGAGAGGGCTCAGTGGATACCAGTTAGTATGTACCAAAAACTCCATAGTGAGACTCTATTAATTAATTAATTAAAAGGTAGCCTGTCAGGAGTCATGTGCTGAGTGTGTAGGGACTTCCTGGTTGGCCTTTCCTTGTGTATGTGTGAATCAACCCCAACCCTGCGTGAGACTCCAAGGGTGATTTCCAGCTCTTGACCGAGTTCTCTAAGTCCTGAGGGTAAAGCTGCTGTGGTTCCTGCTTGACCCTGCACTGTGAGCAGAGGGCCAGCTGGCCTTCCCTGTGCCGCTGCTGGGAAGCCACCCGCTCCCCACAGTTGTCCTCCTCCGTAGAATGTGGTGACTTGGGCAGTCTTGTCTTACGTCTTTACTTTACAGGTCAGCTCACTGAGGTCCACGCTGGCCTGCACTTTCCTATGGAGGCTCTTTAAGTAGCTGAGTCAGACCGGATGTGTGGGTGTCTCACTCTAGCCGGGTTTCCATTGCTAAGGCCCAGCTATTTGAGGAAGCCAACACTTGGCTATTTTTAATGCCAAATAACTGCCTCTTCTGTAAAACATGGCACTTCTAACTACTCTATATTTGAACAGGAAGGTTTATTTTTACTGGAGTACGGTGGAAGTGGGGCTCGGTGCCATGTCCAGATGTTATTCTACACATTACATGCTAAGCTGGAGTTGGGTCTATTAAGCAGTTCCTATGAGCTGCGCAGAGAATCAGTAGGTGCCTCGCGATAGTTATGTCTTCATTTAAAAAAAATCCTTTAAAAAATATTTATTTGAGACAAAAATTTTCAGTATAGCCCTCACTGGCCTCAAACTCATGGTAATCCTTCTGCCTCAGCCTCCCCAGTTCCGAGATTTTTGATACACTTTGCTTATTTATTTATTTAATTTGAGACAGGATCTCACTATATAACCCTGGCTGGCCCAGAATTCTCTCTTGTGGATGGGGTTGGTCTCAAACTCACAGAGATCTACCTGTGTCTGCCTCCCAAGTGCTAGGATTATTGGTGAGTGTCACCGTGCCTGGCCACTTAGTTTCTATCTTGCAAGTCATCTTGACCCTACTTTTGGTAGCAATCTGGGGGCTCACCCTTGTCCCACTCTGCTTCCTTCTTGAATATCTGGAGGCAGCACAGTGCAAACTTTAGGAAACTCTGGGTGGTCTGGGTTGGAGCCAGGCACTACCATTCTCCAGCTGTGTGGCATCTGGCAGGTGACATAATCTCTTTGTGCCTCTGTTTTCCCAGTTGTAGTACCTACACAGAATTGTGTGTAAACATGTAAGGTTCTTAGAAAAGTGCTTGGGATAAAGTATTCAATAAATGTTAACTGTGAAAGTATTGCTTTTTAATACTTTTCGTAAGTGAGGAGCCAGTAAGTTTGAACAGACTGTAATTACTGCAAGTATTTCTCCTAGCTGCAGCCTTCTGTCTCTCTGCTGCTCCCAGCCTTGCCCCTTCCGCAGCCCCCCCTCTCAGCTGCTGGGGTCTTTCTAAAGGCAGATGGAGGGGCTGGAGAGATGGCTCAGCAGTTAAGAGCACTTGCTGTTCTTTAAGAGGACCAGAGTTCAGTTCCCAGCACCCATGTTAGGTGGCTCCCAACAGCCTGCAGCTCTAGTTCAGGGGAGCCAATGCCCTCTTTTAACTCCACACATATGGCTTACACTCACACAGATACAGTACATACACATAAATAAGCTTTGGGGGCCTGCTACCCAGTTCCCAAATAAATACACAGAGACTTATTCTTACTTATGAATGCTCAGCCTTAGCTTGGCTTATTTTTCTTTCTTTAGCTTTGGAGCCTGTCCTGGAACTTTTGTAGACCAGGCTGGCCTCGAATTCACAAAGATCTGCCTGCCTCTGCCTCCCGAGTGCTGGGATTAAAGGCGTGCGCCACCGTCGCCCGGCGCTTGGCT